TTTTCCTTCATATTCCTTTTTATACAAAAGTATGCTACGCAGTGAAGGAGACATTTTCGACCCTATAAAATATATATATTCTTGATAAGGATCACCTCTTGAGTTGATATATGCATGTCCTTCTGTCTGTCCGTGTGTCTGTTTTTACGCAAAGTAGTATCTCAGTTTTAAAGCTATCGACTTGTAACTATTCACCTCTTTCCTTTGCACGCAGTATAAAAGTCGGCCGACTATATCCTATAGATGCCTAATAACTGATTGATCTGAAATGCTATAGTAGCATTTAAATTTGATATGCTAGTTCTTATTTTGTATGAATGCTGTTGTTGCCAGAATAATATGACGTACCAAATTTCATAAGGATCGGTTGACTATATCCTATAATTGCCATATAACTGAACGATCAGAAATGACCCAACTTTCGTGTTTTTTGAAGATACAAAGTTGGAACTTCGTACTATTTTGGGTCAGTTGATCCGAACTAATAAATCTTAAAACGATCGGCCGAATATATCTTATAGCGGCCATATCGGAGCGATCGGAAATTTGGTGAAAATACCAACTTTGGTCGTCCAACTATATCCGATGTTTGCGATATTAGCTGCAAGGGCTCCTCAACTTCAAGGGATCAACTTCGGCTCCTCCCGAGATTTCTTCTATTAACGCCTAACGCTGCTAACGTTTTAAAATTTTGAACGCGTGAATCTCGAAGATTATAAAAAATATAACTAACCCATTTGGAACATGGACTCGTATGATGTTCGGGCCGATCAATTTTGTGTCAAAACTTTGCGCGTAGCAAACGACACCCCCAAAACTAAAGTCGTCTTGTAGCGCCAGTTCCAAAAAATTTTCCGAAAATGTTTTGATTCCACATTGTTTAAACGAAAAAGTGGCATACAGTCAAAACATTGATTTAAGGAAACCTAAATTTGTTTAATTTGTATAATTTCTATGCTAAATACCCACGTAAAAGGTATCAATAAATATTTTCACCTAAAATGATTTTTTTTGACAAAATTGGAGCGAAACTTTTGTTGCCTTTGTGTGTTTCGAATTCCAGACGACAAAAAAATTTAAAATTTTTTTAAATAGATTTTGAAAATTAAGGTATGCAAATTGATCTTATTAAAAACATTTTTTGTCACAATTAGTTATTTTATATATGTGTATTGTTTTGTGTTGTGGAAAGAGAAAAAATCCTAACCAAAGTGCTTTTCTGCATTATTAAGTTTGTGAAAATCATCTTTACGGAAACAGCGAATCTTATATGTCACGCTTGGAAACTTCTGATCGATACAAGAAATGGTTATATAATGGATCTAGAATCCCTTTTGAAAGCCTTCAAGCGAAAGTGGATCATGCCCTGGTAAAGGGAACGGCTGGACCCGCTGGAGTCTCTTCGGCTGGGGCGCACGTTGTTGCTCCGCCTTCTATGCCCACCAGCACTGGGAGCAAAAAGCCTACACTGGACCAAGCCCCAACGGCATCAAAGGTAACTCTGTCAAGGAAGAAGCGGATCAACCCTAATAGGCGCATTGTGGGACAAGCACCAAGTGCTTCCCACCTTTAAATACCTTTATATTGGTAAATTCTCGAAGTCTACCCAACCGGATGCACTGTGCAAGCTTGTCGCAGATAAGCTGAACGTGGAGCCAAGTGATTTAGCCTATTTTTTTAAATTTATTTATTTGTTAACAATGAACTGTTATTCTAGATTATTATAAATAAAAGTAAGGATAAATTAAGTTAAAAGATATTCCATAATTTTGGATTTAATTACATCTAGGGATAGTTCAGGGGATAATAGATGGGACAATGAGTTATAATTCTTACAAATAACGCGAAATGGATCGTGTTCCGCAAAATTAGACCTAGAAATCGATAACCAAAGGGGTCGGAAGGATCTAGTTACCCTATAAGGAACAGAGAACCTTAATTTTTCAAGAAGTACTTGTGAGTCAACCTGTCCAAGAATAAGCACATGAAGTAGCATAACCCCAGCACAAGTACGGCGCTCTTTTAAAGGAGGTAGGTTTAGTAGTTTTAACCGGCAATTATACGACGGGAGGAAAGTGGCAGTATCCCAGTTTAAGCTTTTTAACGCAAATAGCAGAAACTCCTTTTGGACAGATTCAATCCTCCTTTGGTGAACAAAGTATTGCGGACTCCTAACGCTAGAACAGTATTCCAAGATAGGACGAACCAACGATACGTATAGAGTTTAAGTTGTGAAAGGATCATCAAATTTTTTAGACCAACGTTTGATAAAAGCTAGCACACCTCTGGCCTTATTAACTGTTAGTGATATGTGTTCGTTGAAGGACAACTTATTGTCAAAAATGACTCCAAGATCGTTAATTAGGGAAACACGATCTAAGACGTTATTCCCAAGAGAGTACGAAATGATGTGAGGCACACTGCGATTGAACGTCATAACCTTAAACTTAGAGCAGTTAAGCAAAAGGAGATTGTTTGAGCACCACAAGAAGACTTCGTTAAGGTCTAGTTGCAGGTGCCTATGAAGGAAATGGTCTGAGAAAGAAAGACATAACTTGACATCATCAGCATACATATATGTAGTAGCAAAGTTTACAACACTAGGTAAATCGTTGACAAAAAGAACAAACAGAAGAGGTCCTAAGTGACTACCTTGTGGGACACCAGATGAAACGTTTATAATCTGTGATGAACTGTTTTTAAACAAAACACGCTGCCTGCGGTTGGATAGATAAGAGGTCAACCACTGTACTATATGTGGAGGAAACCTCATAAGACACAGCTTATGAAGGAGGAGATGGTGGTTCACAGAGTCAAACGATTTACTAAAGTCAGTGTACACAACATCAGTTTGCATGCGGCTCAGAAAACCTCTGTGGATAAACGAAGTGAATTCAAGAAGGTTAGTTGTGGTAGAGCGATGATTGACAAAACCATGCTGTGAAGTGGAAATAATGCTTTAACAAAAACTTTAAATTGGGAGTTCCGGAGCAACATTTCCCTACAGAGTTCAATTATGACTTTTGGCCCATGTCGGTAAAAGTCAGCCGGTTTGTGCATAGAGAGCCTTCTAAGGTTATTGATCTCCCAGCTACTCTCCCTTTACCACAAACGCGATGTTCCAAAAACCCTCTCTAAGCGACGCCGCTGGCGCAGTTACTTCTTCCTCCTCACAAGCTTCTATTTCTCACCCCGATCGCTCTCTGCTGCGCTACCAAAAACAAACGGCGCGGGCGTTAATGGTAACGTCTATACTTTCTATGGAGAAAACTTTTTCCAACCCAATTTCTGAGAAAATTTTTCTCAGTGGAAACATTTTGATTTTTAAGTTTGGGCTGTCAAATGAGTCAAAATGAGAGCAAATGAGAGAGCCTTTAAAAAAATTTGAAAGTGCTCACACTGTCAGTGTGCCGGCAGCGCTGCGGCAAAATTTCCTACCCTATACACGCGTGCTGTGTAAAATGAACTGGTGTATATAAGGCAGTGGTCGGCACCCCAATACATTGATATGATTTTACCGCATTAGTGTTAGTAACGAATAGCAAAAAGTAGGCTGTGAGCATGACGTTTCACACATGTATACTGTGTGTGTGTGGCAGAGCTCGGGCAGAGAAATTTCCTATGCCCCCGAGATAGGGCCGTGCCGACCTCTGATATAAGGGTATAAATCTCCTGTAAAAATCGGCAGATTTGAATGAAATCTCCGTTCACTTTTCTTTGATCAAAAATAGATATAGGTTATGTGGTCAAAGATACAACAAATACAATATCCGTTTTTGCTCTACGAATGACATACTAGGCACATCAAACTTGACAAGCGCCGTCTGTAGAGAAACCCCGCAAGGATTCCTTTCCCCTCTTTTATAAAGCATAGCAGTCAATTCGACTCTATGCAAGATGGAAGAGGGGGCTGCAAGATAGTGGCGTATGCGGACCACGTGGCGTTTTTGTTCTCAGGAAAATATCCTCCACCACTCTGTGACCTTATGGGCGCAATACTACAAACCCTAGCTATCTGGACAACGTGTAAGGGCCTAGTAGTAAGCGCGAAGAAAACAGAGACAGTTCTCTTCAGCAGAAGTTATAAAATCCCTCCCCTCATCTATCCAACAATAACCAACCAGAGACTCTCTTTCAGCGAAATCGCAAAGTACCTAGGGGTGATACTAGACAGAAAGCTAAACTGGAACCTAAACATAAACAAAAGATCGAAGCGGCGACTCTATTCATCTGCAAAAAAGCAATAGGACTCAAAGAGGGCATGTCCCCCTACATGAGTGGAGGGCAAAACTAACACATGTTTAAAATTTGAGTGTGTGCTTAGCAGAGAAAAACAATGAGAGCAGAGGATTTACTGAGCGAAAAAAACGTATTTTTTTATTTCATTTTTCGTTAATTCAAAAGTTGGAATGGGCACTAAAATAGAGTATTTTATTTTAAAAAAAGTTTTGATAGCAACATTTCTTAAACAAATGAAAAACTACGCTTTCCCATCTATATTCTCCATGAAGAAAACTTTTTCCAAGCCAATTTCTGAACAAAATTTTTCTCAGTGGAAACATTTTGATTTTTAAGTTTGGGCTGTCAAATGAGTCAAAATGAGAGCAAATGAGAGAGCTTCTAAAAAAAATTGAGAGTGCTCACACTGTCAGTGTGCCGGCAGCGCTGCGGCAAAATTTCCTACCCTATGCACGCGTGCGATGGAAAATGAGAGTTTGCCCTCCACTACTTTACAACGATGGGCTGTACACGAGTATAAACTGTTTCGAGAGTTTAACCGGCACTTTTCAGCGGGTTCCAGCGCTGTAAATCACCATTGGAACACTTTTGTTTTCTTGAGATCCATCTATATACTGTTTAATCTTTGCTGCTATATAACTAATCGATCGGAAATTCGGCTATTTCCTCCACTCAAAATAATCGTTGTTAGCTTAAATTAAATTAAAAAATTAAATCAAATTCCTTTTAAATAACTGTAGTTCCATTTTTTTCTTTTGTAGGTAAATCTGGAATTGCCATAAATCTTATTGATGGAGATAAAAGCATGGACGTGTGTATCGCAATAAAAAACCATTTCAAAAAAGAAATTCAAATATTAAATACTGACTGCGCCGATGATATAGAAAAAATTGGAACGTGATCCATTTTAGTACAGTATGAAATATATGAAAATGAAGAAATTCAATTTATGTAAATATTAAATTGGATTGTTGAAAATAAATTAAAATTTTCTATATAACTCACCTTTGTGTTAAATTTGTTGTAAACAGAGCTCGCAACAGTTGACCGTTTTTCGTTGTCTGTAAATAAGTATTTTTTCCTGATTTTTTACGAAAAGACTCAGAGAGTAATCGATTTATAGGTTCTTAAATGAGCTTTCTCGCGCTCTGAGCTCGCCGTTTAAGTCTATCCTGTCTTGTTCTGGTTTTTCTAAGAAAGTTTTGTCGGGTTCAGCGAAGCAAACTGTCTTTTTCGTATGTATGTATTGGTATACATCCATAGGCAAGAAAATCGCTAAGCGTCTGTTTTGCAGGCGAAATATTTTAATTGTGCAAAATGGGAGGAGAATCGTAAAAAAAGTGCAGCAATTCTTTGATTTGGAAGAAATTTAATTTGAAAGAAAACAAAACAAAATTGGTATTAAATTGTCCGGCAATCATTCAACAAACCTAAGGCGGCTTTTAACAAAAAAATATGCAAATTTTTAATGAGTGCAACAATTCTGGAAATTAAAAATTTTCCCCAAAGTGAAGAAAAACGAAGAATATCATACCCAACGAGCTAAGAAGCAATTATTTCTTCTTTGATTAAAACTGTAACGGCGGACGGAAAACCATTTATGTTTCTAGACAGTGAAGGGTTCTGTTTGGTCATTAAGGGTTTTCAATGCCGTAAATCCGGTGCAAAATAAAAGGCCCAATTTAAGTATTGCAGTATTGCGCTATAATTTATTTCTGCTGCAGGCAGATGAAACTGGGATCAACAATTGTGATCATTCAGTTAATGGTGCTAAGTGACTATAATATGGAATAAGAGTGCGACCCGACTAGACATACGCGAAGCTAAAGCTCTCGATAGCAGAGAAGGCGGTGCGACATAATGATTGCGAAACTAAAGCTCTCTTAAAATAAGCCCGTTGAAGTCGAGCGGCCGAGAAAGAGTCGGCTTGAGACCAACTAAGGCGATATGACCATACTTTAGCTTAATAAATAAACTATAAACAAATTCAGCGAAATAATTCGAAGAAATAATAGATTCAATATATCGAAATACACCTGGCCCTCGCTTAACACGGACTTTTTTAGCACGAACTCGGTCTTACACGGTTTCAAATTTGCTCCCTTCCCCCCTTTAACACGCTAAAAACCTCGTTCTTAAACGAGTTATAAATTAAAATTATGAATTGTGATTTCAAATTATGAATTATGATATGAATAAAACATATGATTTCCTTACTTTTTAACATTTTTTAGTTTCTATAAAGTTTAACCCATTAATTAATTATAAGAAGCAACGTTTTTTATTAAATACCAACTTTTAAGTTAGCAATATGAATGGTATGTTTTTATTAAAGGCATATACATAAAACATTTTGGTTAATTTTGAACAAATGTATGAAACTTTAATAAAAACACACCAAATTTGAACAATAAAAATTTTTTTTTGCTGTCAATTTTGAATTATTAGAACGTAACCCCCTTGTTTTGTACTGAGTCCATGTTACGCTTAACACGATTTCGCTTAAGACGAGGTTTTCTAGGAACGTAACCCCCGTGTTAAGCGAGGGCCAGGTGTATTATGAATTTTATGTCAGTTTCCTGTTTGAACAGAGTGTCATGATATACATAAACGAAAAATTTTAGAATTCTTAGATGATTATAGAATATCACTAGATCAAATCTACAGGTAAAAATTTAACTATAAACACTTGGAAAAAATATGTGATATTTTTTAAAGAATTTTTATATTTATGCATACAGCATTATGTCTGATAATGGATGAAACATGATAAAAGCCGTCCAAGTATTAAATGATGCCACAGACCTGGTCGCGACGGAAGTTCATCGTACTGTCGGTTGAGGGAGACGATCGGAGACCGTGATGAACTTGTTCATAACTATCTTGGATGCCGTGTTTGCTTCTAAGTTGACGGGTTACTAGCGTCAGAACATGGAGAGGCTGTTCTTACCAAAATTCTTGAAGTCTTTGTCGAATATCTCGGGGACGATCATGTGGAGCTTAGCGACACATTTTTTTCGACCCCAATGGGCGTAAAAGGGGATGTACGGGAGTAATTTATCTTTTCCATTTATTGCTCCATCTTCAGCGAGTTAAGAATCCACCCAAACTTCTCCCTGTAATTTCCGCAAATCTTTACTTGGGTTTCTCTTTGTAAAGTAGTTGTTTAAGAAGAGTCGAATAGCAAGAAAGGCAATCGGAGTGGTGGAGAAGGTCAGGGTATTAACCACGACTAAAGCAAACCCATTTAGAAGTAATTTTAGCCTAACCAACATAAGCGACAATTAGGGAATTAGCAAGTAATAAATAAATTAAGTTCAATGCATAACTTTAGCAAGTCGTTTGGATTTGAAAGTATCCCGAGCAGAACTGTGCTCAACTATGACATTCCGTCCATGAAAAGCCATTTATCACAAAATTTTATGTTTATGCGAGGGGCCGTTGGGCCGCTGAACTTAAGAGCGCATCCGCGCTGAAGAGCGCATCCGCGCTAAAGAGTGCATCCGCGCTCGCTCGTTACTCCTGGAGTCTTTTGCGGCAACAACGCCCCCCTACAACAGTGGCCCATGAGGGGTACAATCCTAAAACGTCTCCACAATCCATAGTCATCTGCGACAGTTCCATCGAAGTCTTTAATGGAAACCTTACCTCATCAATGAACCACAATTCTTCTTGTCAACTCCTTCATTCTCTTCGACAAAAAGGAAGCGAAAAGAACGGGATTAAACTTACATACATAAGTGTGAGTGCATTGCTGCTCAATACTCTCACAAAAATTCATAACGATCGGAGCATTAGAACCGAAGTTGTAGCTATTTATTGTGCACTACCTGAACATCAAACTTGAACAAACTTGAAACTTTAAACGCAATTATCTTAGAATCTTGTTTTTTCGAAATTACCTTTGCGGTGGACACGATTACTAAAAAACTATTAATCCGATCAACACTTATTTTGACCACTTATTTATTATGATAATAGCTAGTCCGTGAACGAAGGATTTTTTTGAAAACTCCTTTTTTAGAGCATAAAAATCGAAAATCTTATACCTTGAAAAAGTACATTTTTTGTTAAAACCGTCGCCATTTTTTTTTAAATCCAAATTTTTACAAATCCCTTGTTTACGGACTAGGCAATACAATATATTGCCTTGATTTGAATTTTTGATTTCGGATGAACCGTTCTCGGGATATGATGTTCACCGTAAGTCACCATCGAAAAAAAAACGATCTTGGAATTTGGCCATAACATTTTTATTATTTAATATTTTTTTATGAACAAAATTTAATAAGTACCCAGAAACATATTCTAAACAACGTCGGTAAACCATTTTTAAAAAATATTTTTTATGTTGTCAATCGATAAAATTTCATTTTTTTGCCCAGTACAACTGTATATAACTCCTTAATAAAAGTTGCTTTTTATTTTTACCAGCATTGACAATTATCAATGACCAAACAAGGATCTTTATTGGCACCTCGAAGACTACTCTTTCAGACAAGTTCATGAACGCACGCTTCGTCGAGGGTCACCATTCTGGCATTGATGGAGCGCGGATTGGTTCGCACTTCTACACCCACGCCCAAAATGGCGTCAAGAACGAACCAATCTGCAAATTGATGATTTAGTTATGATCAAGGATGACCGGTTCCCCCGAAACAAATGGAAGCTGGGTCGAATAATAGAGTTACATCCTGGGGCAGGGATCGGGCTCAAGAAAGCTTTTCGGCTCGACCCCAAATAAAACTTCAACTCAAAAATCACAACGTTTCTATGCGATGCTTTTCTAATTATTTCTGCACGAATATTTGATCCATTTCATAATCCTTATCCGCAGGTTGATTTCGCGGATCCCGGCCTTGAGAAGTACCTATCTTTTTCCTTATCCGGGCTTTCAATTACAAAGGCTTGCTCCCGTTTTCAAAGGTAAAGGCAATCGTCCATTTGGTGGTGCTCCTTAGGCCTGGAATCGGACAACATCATACAAGTTTACAATTTACGGCTTACTCACTCCTTTTATCTGCGACAAGCTGTTTTTTTTTTATTAAACAAGGTACATTTTTTTGTCGCCGGAATCGTTCAGAACCATTTGAACATAACCGGGCGCTTAGAAGATTGGGTTAGTATGGTACATATGGGATATGGGCCTAGACTATAAACAATTATTTACAATTATTTGCATTTGTTTACAATATTAATGTACAATACGGGAAGACAGATCGCTGGGGTGGAATCTCTTTAAACGTCTAAGAGTTTGCGGGTCGGCCAGCCTGCTAGCCAGTGGATTTGGGTGACTCGTTAGTCTCTCCGAGTACCGTCGGCTGTATTGGTTTAGAAGGTCGCCCACCGGAACAAGGCGTAGGTCGTTTTGGATGGCCAGGTTGGTCACATACCAGGGAAGTCCGGATGCCCGTCGAGCAGCACGTGCCTGCACTACCCTCAGCCTGTTTAGCTGGTGCTTGGATGCGGTGCAACATACCTCGATCGCATACGACCAGGTTGGCGTGAGGAATGACAAACTGTTGAAGCGCTTCTACGTGCTCGAGGCTGGAAGGGAAAATATGTCGGGAAAGCTTTCACAAACCCGATCACACCAGAAATATAATTTACATCCAGGCAATAGAAGCATGAAGAACGAACATCTCCACGCTTTCATCGCGGGCACCACCAGGCCACCAGATGGACACAACTCTACTGCCTTATCCGTGGCGGAGCGTCCCTTAAAAGCGCCGCGAACACTTCGAGTGTTGCTTCTGACTTAGGCTGCCTCAAATTAAAATTAGCTGCTCCTCCAACAAAAACTGCTGTTCTTACTCCTACGGTGATTGCTCCGGTCAGGCTTGCTTCTGCCGAGTCCTAGGCTTATCGACGATTCTCCGCGGCCATGTCTCGTGGGCGGCCTTGTGTGCACCCCGTTCGAATTCTGCCTCTCTCTCAGCAAAGATCTGTCACACCTATCACCACAAAGAACCTCAAATCTGGTGCACCAAAAAAATACAT